AGTTGTGCACGGATGCGTATAGGAAGCTGCATCGCACGAACCGCGATCGCCACTCGCTGCACGTGCGGCGTGTGCGACTTCGTATTGGGCCTTTTCGGTCGGTTTCAAACACAGTAATAGGAGCGGCACGTGTTGCTACCGAGAAAACTTCCGGTCGCTCCATTTGTTACTCTCTAACACCGAAACAGAAATCTTCTTGTGTTTTAAGTTGTGCTAGAGTAAGGAAAGACCGCCCTCAGGTAAAAGGGAGGCGCTCAAAGTTAAGGACTGATTATTGTATTGTTGCATCTAGCTTTGAAAAAAAAAAAAGTGTATTTCAAGTGTTTGACCAGACGCATTAACTGGCTACTCGTTAAGGCATCTGTTCCTCGCCAATACCGCCAGGCTACGCCGGCACACAAAACCGGAAGCCCTTTAGCACCTGTCTTTGTAAACAGCGATAGGGTCTATAGACGCTGCACGTCTAAACAAAAACAAAATCGTATGTTTATCACCGCGTTACCGTCGCTCCGCGATGAGACTTTCCGACCGGTAAAGCTTACCGTTGCAGCACTTGAAAGGCACCGTGCAAATTGGCTTTCGATCCTTTCAATCATGTATAAAGTCGAACCCCCTTTAGAGACACTGATCTACGAGACGAACTGGTGCAAGACACACCAACGTGCCTACGTTGAAATAGATGTTAATAAGAAAAAAGGCGTACGTGGTATATACCCTGCTTAAAGAGAGAGACACGTCATATGAAAGGCAATTGCTGGCTGGAGCAGCATGTCCCTTATACAAAGGGGTTCAACTGGATCTAGTTGGTGCCGTCACTCAAGGCTAGGGATTCGCGCGCACCGTTTGGTCGCCAGCGTAGACGCGGATCTCGGGAGGCGAGTCGATATATATCAAGTCCCCGTATAACCCGGACTCCTCCGTTCGAGCCCATTAATTCGGCTCACGCGAGAGAACGTCAGACGTGCGCGTGGCGCCTCCTCCTCCTCCGGCGTCGCTTTCTCGACGTTTACGAGAGGGCAAGAAAGAAATAGTGCCTGGCGCCTCGGAAGGTTGTCCCTTACTTTTTCATATGTATATCTTTTTCAATGTCCTTCTCCCAGCCTCCTCCCATCGCAGCCGAAGAAGTGGAACTGAACTGCATCCTCTCAAAGTCTATTAAATTACAGTCGGCCTCTGGAGTTGAGCGTATACAGTTTCTCCGCATTTGCGCGTGGCTCCCTTTTTTATTATTTTGCCCTCTTCGCTCGACTTCTGCGCGCGAGGCGAAAATCACCGTGATTGTTGACACCGGGCTTTTCGGTGTGTTTGCTCTTCGACGGGCCTCGCGGTGTGTAGGCTGCATGCAGTGGGCAAGGACCGTCAAGCAACCTCTAAGCGCCCTTTTTTGTTTCTTTTTGTTTGTGTTGCGTGCCTGTTATTCGCTAGGGAAAAAAGTGTAAGGTTTCGGAAGTTCGGTGTGTGTAGCGCTTTAAGCTTTGGAGTCGCACGCTACCTGATTACGGAGTGCCTCGTCATTCCAAAGCTTGCGAGTATATTTGAGAACCTTTTTTTTTTCGACGTGGGCGAAATGCAGAACAGAGCCCCGCCGCGGTAGTCTAGTGGCTAAGGTACTCGGCTGCTGACCCGCAAGTCGCGGGTTCGATTCCCGGCTGCGGCGGCTGCATTTCCGATGGAGGCGGAAATGTTGTAGGCCCGTGTACTCAGATTTGGGTGCACGTTAAAGAACCCCAGGTGGTCAAAATTTCCGGAGCCCTCCACTACGGCGTCTCTCATAATCAAATGGTGGTTTTGGGACGTTAAACCCCACAAATCAATCAATCAATCAATCAATCAAATGCAGAACAGAAAGTAGCTCAAATAAGGATCTAGCGGTAGATACATTTACCTAACTTGACTTTACACTTATAAATTAGTTATTATTATTATTATTATTATTATTATTATTATTATTATTATTATTATTATTATTTAGCAATACTGCCGATCTCGCAAAGGACCAAGGTAGGGATGGCAAGCATTTAAAACAAAAAGAAGCACCATCCAATAATTTTAGCATTAAAAACAAGTAGTATCATGCAAGCAAATAATAATTAAAAACTTGTTATTACTGTTTCAGATAAAACTTGGGAATGTGTATGTGCCAGTACAGCCTTATTTGAGCTAGTCTCGGTTGTGAGTTTGGCCCATTTCGAAAAACAGGTGCTCATTTAGTTGATTATATAGCTGTATAGTTACCGCTCCGCGGAAAACTTGGACAGCCGAGCCGGTTTGTGATGTTTAGTAGACTATAATCATAATCGATGATTGGCTGTGGTTTGTTCCACAACTGTCACCTGAAAGAGAAAATTAACGTCCGTTCGGGGCACTGTCAATGCCCGATGCCTGCGGATTTCTCAGAAATTGAAGCTTAGTCACAAAATCGAGCTAGTCCGGGATTCGAACTCGGGACCAACGATGTTCGCCTTTTACTCACTCGGCCAATCAGGAGGCAAGCAATTTTCACCCAATTAAAACCAAGCACTATACCACGCGTGGAAGGATGCGGAAACGCACAAGACTTCGTCATTGCACAGTAGCAGATCGTTCGCAAGGATTCATTACTGTGGTGTCCCGTAGTGTGGCTTATTCTGTAGGTATTGCGGTTGTCACGGCCTCGAATTATTCGCATTTTCCGTACCCACTGACAAACTCTCTACAGCGGAGCGTGGCGCCTTTCGACTGTATCTGATCCGCGAGCCGATGATAGTTAAATTTATCGCCCGCCCTCTGCGATCGCAGGAAATTTGCGACCGTTTACGAGAATGTATTCGGTAGAATTACGGTGTACAATCTGCATTACTAGCTACTCTAGTTGCCTGAGTGCTAGGTAGTAAACGTACTTACTGTTTTTCTCTCTCTCATGGCGCATAGGTATACGATGTTGTCCCTGCCTGACCCCCGAAAGAGGGAACAGTTCAGGGAAAGTTCACCCTAATGACGGCGTTAACCTTCGCCGTGGCCATTTTACTACAGGGTGTATATGCAGATAAAAACGCCTTTACGGGTGGTGTATTATTGGGGTCACAGTGTAGTCGCTACGCGCTGGGTCTGCAGCATTTACATGCAAGCTTGCGAGATCTTATGCATACGTGGGCGGTATAGTTTCTCGAGGGGGTGAACACGTTTCGTTTGCTCGCGCCCGCCCTTGGCTTCAGAACGAGATTGTTTCTGCGCCGGCTGTGCTGCTTTTTAAAGTGCGACTTCGCTCGATATCGCGAGGAGAGACCTCGATTGCGGCCGGCCGCTCAATTGAACGCATTGCTGGGACTTCTGGCATTTCGCCGCACTTGCGTGCGCCTTATCCTCCTTGGCGGGGCACTCCATGGATGCCTTGGCGTTGCGCCGCGTTCATTCTTGCTGGACTGTCAGTGTCAAAAAAAAAAAAAAAAAAGCCTCCCCCCTTCCTCGATCTCGCTCTCTCTCTCTCTCTCTCTTTATCTCTCTACCGTATTCGCATGCCGGGCAAATGCTCAAGGATGCGAGAAGGCATGATGTACTTAGACGAAGAAGTTTGTTGTAATAACTTGTTATTTGTCCGCCGTGGTGGAGCAGTCGTTACGGTGCTCGGCTGTTGACGCTAAGGTCGCGGGTTCGATTCAAACTGCGGCGGTTGCCTTTTCGGTGGAGGCGAAAGACCAGAGAAACGTGTGCTGTACGATTTCTGCGCTCGTTCAAAGTACACCAGACGGTCGAAGCCCTCTAGTATGACGTCATAAAAAGGCGCGTTTACACTAGAGCGACACGACACTGACTTGACCCCGACGAAAACACGAGGAGGACGCGGACCATCGGCCGACGAGTCGCCCGCCGACGAAGTCGCCAGACCCCATGGTCACACTAGGCCGACGACGACGCCTCAAAAGACAGCATTTCGTCGTAGTGTAATACCCCTGTCACACGTCCACCACCAAACTCCGTTGAACACCGTCAACGTAAATCTCTCTTAGGGGGTTCGACGGAGAAGTTGTGGCAGTGTCACACGGCAATGACAAGGTTGTAACAGTTGCCGCGAGGGGGCTCAGCTGGCGCTGCTTGATTTTCGGAAAAGCATTCTAATTTGATCCCTATTGATTTTTTGTGAATCCCCGTTATGCGGTTTTTACAAAAAAACACTATTAAGTAAGTATGCGACTAACAAACCATTAAAAATAATTTCAAATAAAAACGCATTTGCTAAATGTAGCAATGCTGCTAGTGACGCTGGCCACATTGTGCTTTTAGTTGTTTTGTTGCCTGTGTACACGGATGAAGGAGCCTGTGTACATGCTCGGTACGAAAGTTCTTATGCTTCCTTGCCTCGTGAGCGCACATTTTGTGTTCTTCAGCCATGAGTGACACAGCGGACGACGTGAGGAAGTGGTACGATATTGCGCTAATACTGACGTTGATCGGCTGGCGCCGGCCGGCCCGACTCGCGAGGCACGGTGTGTAGGGCATCGGTGTTGAGAGTAAGTGAACTCTGGCGGGCGTAAATATTGTAAACAAACACGCGGTGTGAATGAGTAATACAACGAAAGAACGTTTAATTTTGCTAAAATGTATTATTCTTTCACTGCGGCCACTTAGTGCTCGAAATTTTTCTCTGACCTCTAGACTGCTGAGGACAAGAGTACCTCGTTTCGCTGCGAAGGGAGATCGTTGAACGTCCTTTGCGAAATGCTCCGTTCACCTTCGTTTGCGTAAGTGTGGCCGTGTGATACCCCTGACACACGGGCACCCTAAAGTCCTTTAGACAAGGGGACATCTTTCGGAAAGGCGTTCGGGCGCAGTGACACACGACAAAGGAGTAACTCCTCTCCGGCAAAGATCCTTTTCGCAAAAGCAGATCCCGCATCTACTTTTCTGGCAGGAAGGGAGTACTCTCGCATACAGTGTACCTAATTTATCAATAAAAGAAAACGTGCCGCAACATTGCGGTGCCCTGTCAGTATTTTTTTTGCGCTGAGAAAATGTTTTCATTTTCAACAGCAGTGCAATTTGTTGAAAAATGAAGACCTATAGTCTGTCCATACTCTCAAACACCTGCAATACGTCACTAGCGCGATCATGCTAGGGTTGGCAGTGGCAGTTGCTGTGTCGGGGACGTAGTATTTTGTACAATGGAGTCGGCTCAGTCGGTGAAGAAAAAACCGCGCGTCCAGTGGACTGAAAAGGAGACCTGGGCGCTGATAAAGCTATGGGAGGACCATTTGGACGCCTTGCGAGGGCAAAAGCACAACGGTGGAGTTTACCAGGCGATTGCCGAGAGCCTCACCGACGCCGGTATTCCCCGTACACGGGCGCAAGTTCACAGTAAAATCGACAACTTGACACAGACATTCAGGTAAGACGGTCACTCATGCTACGCGTTGTCGCGCGCGTCCTGCTTGCTTGTTTAGTGTGTGTTAAGATCGGGCCTGTAAAACCCGACATGCATGGGCACCTCGCATATCGAGGAACGCGGGACTCCACGGTACCTGCGAGTGCGCGGCAACAGATAATGGCGTCCCTACCATGCGCGGTCCGCGTCCCACAAAAACCCTTGGTGATAAGCGCGTCGGGTGTGCGCTCGGCTGTCTCTGACCTTTGCTGGTACACTCTTGTCATGTGAAGGCGCGTCTCTGCGCTCTTTTTTTAAAAAAAAAACATATAAATATGTTAATTAAACGTGTTCACTTCGTAAGAAGCGGTACAAGTGTCTTTCTGCGCCGGAAACTGGGTTCCAGCCTTTACCCCGCCTCGAGTCACATGAGTGTTTATGCTTGAGAAGTAACCAAACAATGTACCGCTCAGGCCGAATTTTCAAGATGGGTGCCGTGAGTCGTGTACGAAGCATGTTGCTAGGTGCCAGCTGTATTGTATCAACTGTAAGCGAAGGTAGCAACAAAATTATGAAAAGCTTGCATAGGTTGTATTTATATATTTCTGTGCTGGTCATAATATGATGTGGCCTTCCTATGTTGCTTGATAACTAAAAGCGACTGTGATCTTTTTTTCTTAGAAAAATTGAGCGAGAGCTCACGACAGGCTCCTCACCACCAACGTGGCCATACTATAAAGAACTGAAGAGGTTCATTGGCTGCCTGCCGATAAATGATCTGTCCCTCATGGAGGAAAGCTGCTGCGACACCAGTAGCGACACTGTTGAGAAGGTGTGTAACGAACAAATCACCATTGTGCACTTTCCCTGCAATCAATACAAGTACTAGTGCACTTACACCGGTATAATTGTATAAGCTGATGTTTTTAACTAATTGGACTCGCAGAAGTTTTCTATTTACCTGAAAGTATACAATATGTATCATGGCTTATGTACATTAATGTCTTACCGAGCAATATTTACTCACACATGAACATTTTCGCATGTGACTGCATTCTCTATCGTTCTATAAGGCTGACGATGATCACCAAGTCCTCCACCGACATCTAGAACTTGTTTCTGTTTGGTGTGTAATTGTCTAATGAAGCTTAACGTTTTTGAATGTAAAATTGCCTGTTTTAGCCGCAAACGTACTGCATCTACCTTTTTGTACCATATAAACAACACTAATATAAACATGATACACGATAAAAATATCTTGGTGTTTACCTAACTTCTACCGTTTCGTGATCCACTCACATTGAATGCATATGCACCAATGCTTCCAGATCATTTGGTTACATGCGCTGCAAGTCGCATAATTCTGCTAATGATATTCTAAACAAGCCTACATACCATTTGTATGACCTCAGCCTGAATATGCAGCATCGGTCAATGTTGACCAGCATCATGAAAGTTTATCCTCAATTGTGCTGTTCATTTCATCAATGTAATTATCAAGAGTTACGATTGTGGTGTGCTGCCTCTCAGATCAATTTTTTTTTGTATGATCTTTGTAGCTGTTTTCTCTTAAATGTTCGCAGCTGATCTACGAAATGGAGAGCGGAATCAGTTCCGAGGCTACTGAAACTAACAGCCCGCCAGTGCCAGGAACATCAAATGAACAGACGCCACCACCTGCACCCACCACGCAGTCGACTCCGAGCCCTGCAACAAATACGGCAGCACGGGCAGCAAGGAAGCGACGGCGGCCACTGACCGCAGCGCGCGAATTCCAAGAGGCTATGCTGGCTGAACAAAAAATGCTACGAGAGCAGCTGGAGCGAGCTCAGCAAGCCGAGGTAGAGCTGAGATCTAAACACCTCCAGCTTCAAGAAAAGCTTGTAAATGCCCTCGTTGATTTCATCAATAAAAAATGAGGCAGAAAAAGTGTCACTCTTTTTATTTACAAATTCCAGCGCAAAAAGATTCTAGGAGCGGGCTGCCTGGGTCTGCATCCTCTGGCTGAAGTGGTCCACAAGTGCAGAACGCACACTGACTGCATTCCCAATCTGTGAATCGCTGCCACGTTCTGGTTGGGGCAGTTGGGAGTCGGACTGCTTCACTTCCTGGAGCCATTGAAGCTGAACAGCATCGCTGAAATGCTCGCAAATGTTGTTGAGCACGCAGCATGCGCGAATCACGAGGCGAGCGTTTGCAATGTCGCATTCCATTCTCTTCGACGTGAAGCGAAATCTTGCCTTAAGCCTTCCAAAGGCGTTTTCTACCACACGTCTCACTCTGCTGATGTGGTAATTGAAATTTTTCTGCTCTGCACTAAGTGGGGTGTTGTGTCCAAATGGCTTGATGAGGTTAGGTGTAAGTGGGAAGGCCTGGTCACAGAGCACCAGAGGTGGCACGGCAACGCCTCCTATTGTAACAACTGGAGCCTTGAAAAGTGGTCCCTCAACCATGCCGGAGAGGCTCGACATTTGATACACATGAGAGTCATGGCATCTTCCAGGGGCACCAACATTTATAAACCTGAAACGGTACTTGTGGTCTACAAGCGCCAGGAGAATAATGCTGTACCTGTAAAAATTAACACAAGAGTCATTAACACAAGTCAAAGTCAGTAAGAACACTTCTCTGGTTTAAAAAATGCTAGCGATATTGACATAAATATATCAATGTGGTGAGAACAAATAATGAACAGATTGCTAAGGCACAAGGGTGAAAAAATGGGCACGTTAGCTTAAACCATTCAGAGGTGGAAGTCGTATACACGCATACGTCTAGATAGCAGTACATACATCGGGTAAACTATCTCGATCACAACTTATGCTCGTCTTGGTTACTATAACGCTTCGCAGCATTTTACGGCTTTTGCAAGGTACTATTGCCAATTCCTATTTGATGTTTCTAATTATGAAAAAGTTTTTCAGCGGCTTCAAGGTCTCAAATGAGATTTGCAACAAGCTTCTCGTTTGACGACACTTACTTGCATGCACAAGTAAGTTTTTTTTCTGAGCAGACTTTTTTTTTCTGAGTAGACTTTGTTGTTTTCTTGAAATCTTGTAGCGAGGATTTCTTCATTGGATCCCTGTAATTGCAAGAAACATGCGCGGCTGCACATTCTAGGGAGAAACTGACGTTGCTGGAGACCAATTTGTGAGTCATATAGGTAGCTTGTAACTTATAATTCGCACACAAGGAATGGTTCACATGCGGATGTTTCACATGTTCACATGCGGATTTCTCGAATATTTAGGTGCGATGCCTTACACGCGAACGTTAATTACCAAAATAGCCAAATCAACTTACCACCCCTTGTAGTTATAGTAATCAGTGGCATGTTCTTGTGGCGGCGAAACTGGGAAGTGGCAGCCGTCGAGGGCTCCTACAGCTTGGGGAAAGTCACTGACGGCCATGAATTCCCGAATGTGTTCGGCCATCTCAGATGGACTCAGCATCTTGATCCAGTCGCTTTCCAAGACAGAAACGGTGGCTTCGCAAAACTCCTTGTAAATGCCGTTCACCGTCGATCGCCCGACACCGAAGACACTGGCCACGACTCGGTCCTCTGCCACGGAGCACAGTTTGAATAAGCCGATGGCCACCACCTTTTCAACCGCAATGCACTCGCGCATATTAGTTGTGACCCTCTCTAGCGAAGGGCGTAGGCTGTCCACAATGAAGCGGAAGGTGGCTGGGCTCACTCGAAAACACTGCTTAAAGTGGCCGTAACCTAATAACGGCAATGTGTCTTCGAACCAGCGTTCGTTGCGCACATAGGCCCACCTTTCGCGGTTGATGGCTCGGGGGGACAGTGCGGAAGCAGTCAAAATGAAGCTGTTCATGACGAGTCTTTGTTTGAGGCTCATCACTCTTGCCTTCGCAGCGTTTAGCTCATCTTCGATGGAGCCGAGGGCGACAAGAGCCAGGCCCACCTCAACTGTCGCTTTATCTCTGTCTCTGCGCTGAGACATCGCAAGACCACGATGAAACGAGGCACGCCGTCACTGACCCAGCTGGACGCAGCCATGTAAACAGCACGACAAAAAACAAAAACAGCAAAACACTGACTGTTCATAGTTGCCAGACGAACTTAAGTTGCTGCTAAAAACGCAAAAAAGCGAAAGAAAATTACAGGTATGCGCATTATAAGCCACCAGACAATAAAAAAATACGGTTTTATGCTCCGGCGTCACTGAATGTGATGTACATGCGCAGATTCTTTTTAATATTTCTAATCTTGCTCCTTCCACAAACAGCGCCATTTTTTCTGCAGCGTTCATCTGAGGCACTGCCTAAAGCAGTAGTCCGGTGCCGTGTGTCATGAGCGCCACTCCTTTCTGCAAATGGTCCCCTTAGGCGACAAAAGGGGTTTACTTCAAAGTACTTTACTTTTGCCCGTGTGTCACGGGTATGACACCGACCGCATCTCCGTTGCCGTAAAGACGAGGGAGTTAAACGGTCTTCACGGGTGCCCGTGTGACAGGGGCATAACATGATGAGAGACCGAAAACCCCAGCAGAACGCATCAGCAACCTGTCGCCGGCGTGTCGTCGGGAGATACGCGGCTGAGCGAAAATTCTCCCCGTGTCTTTGCTTCAAACGACTACGAAGCGGGCGGCAATCTTGGGGGAGTTAACAATGCCCTCTCCAAGGCTTCCGCTGCGCAGCTCGAGCACCCAACCGAAGTCTTTTCTTCGCTTCCCTATTGTGTCAACGCCTCCTAAATATAGGCGTTGATTGTGTGCACCGCCCCCGTTCCTCTTTACCATGGATTATGGCTGAGGCTGCGCCGCTTAGCCGGAGAGGGACAATGACAGAGTAGGGAGCATGGCTGAAAAATGAGGTGCAGGCGTGTGCAAGTTTAGTCGGTGTCACTGCTGTGCCTCCATTGTGACTACAGAATCGGCCAACGAAATACCGTGAGCACGACAAGGCGCGAGCGGGGTCCTCGAGAGACCACCCGGGGACTGTCTTTGCAGTGTACATAGACCGACAACAAAACACACTCCTAAAGACAGCCTGCAGACCGAAATCGGTGTCGTGTCTCTCCATTGTAAACGTGCCTTAATCGTTTCGGGGTTTTCGGACATGAAACTTTATATTATTGCTATTAAACTTCATTTCCACTACTAATAGAGGATGGAGGAGACGACGGCTAAATTATGCTTGAGGCACAAGCAGCTTTTAACAAAGGACCCTTTGGAAGCGATAATACTTGAGACGTACCAGTCTACTTAGGTCTATATATAGGCCATGATCTGGGCGCACGTTAAGAGAACGCCAAGTGAATTGAAACTTCAGGAGCCTTCCACTGCAGCGTCCGTCAAGGCCAAACCCCATAACCGCGAAAATGCTCGCGACGTAGATTGCCTTCGCGCGAACAATTGCAGGCAAACCTAATTCGCAGATAAACGTCAAACCTAGCGCAAGTAAACCTCATTCGCGTGACAACTTCGGCGAGTGAACTCCACCGTTGCCGGCATGAGGCCGTCTGCTCATACCAAGTAGTGAGCGGTATGCAATTTAAGAATAAAATCTATTGTTGTGTAATGGAACGAAAAGTGTTTCTTGTTGCCTTGCAGCACTTTTTTTTTATGTGCACGTGCATAAACATTGCGTTATTTCTTCGTTGTTCACGCGTGACTCGGTCGGAGAGGAGCATGAGAGGAGGTGGCGATTTCGCGGCACATGAAGGTAACCGGAAGTGCGTCAGTCGTGTACATCCTGTTCCGGCGCTTTGAGCACAGCACTTCCGGGCGATGGGCGACGGCTTCCAAATCTGGCAAACCGAGCGATCGCGCGAAAACTACCACGCGATACGTCGCACGAATGTCCTGTTTCGCAGCTCATAGCATCGCTCGTCGCTGGCGCGTGCATTTTCGAGTTTACGAGGTTTGGCCTTCATAACCTTATCGGGGTTTTCCAACAACTATTATTGTTGACAGAGGTACGCAGCTTTGCTAACAGTATCAAAACATTCATTTTGGACTAGTTGGTAACGATTCATTAAAAGTGCGAAAGTGGGGCTCAGTGCGGAACTGGGACTGGAGAAGATACCGTGAGCCCTTGTTGTCGTTCTCTTTTCTCGTCCGTGTTCCGTACACTGCGTCCCGCTTTTTGGAGATAAAATGGACGGTTATAGTATACAAGGAGTGATAGCGCACATACCAAGAATACAAAAGATTTAAAACCAATGTGTTGTCATATCAAACAGTCGCCCAAATAAGGACAGCGAAAAAAAAAAACAAACAAAATGGTCTCGTATCTGCGTGCGTGGCTGCAAATGTCGTCGAAAGACGAAAGTCTTCCGTCGGCCGTTTTTTTTTTTTTCGTGCATAGCGTCGCAATTTCCGCGCATCATAAGAAATAATAGGGTGTCTAGAATTACGTATATACGTATTTTCTAGTAACGAACACACCACCTAATACTTGCGTATTGATGTTGCACCTTAGATATGTCTAATATTTGCTTCTTGATCGACAATGTTTATAAATATGAAAGCAGCCCCCACATCAAGATGGCTGAGCATTCAGGAACATAGTTTCTCAAAATTAACTAGAGAGCACTCTGGCGCTGCGATCGTTGAGCGACCATGGGAATGATGGGTAGTACACACATTTGCATAGTCTTCGTACTTGCGGGCGGCGAATCGTACTAGCGGCTTCGTTTATTGCTGTGTTTCAGTTTTGTTTTGAAAGAAAAAACAAACCCTTTTTAACTTGTGACTTGATTCGAAATGGTAAGCCTAAAAGGATAAGGTTGTGAAGCGCAAACGGTGAACATTTGCTAATTTATGCTTTTATGAAAAAGCAGCTTCAAGCCACACGGACACGCACGGAGCCAGAAGCATGGTAGAAGTACGAAAATTGGACAAATGTGTGTACTACCCATCATTCCCATGCTCGCTGAAGCGCCGTTTGTTGCAGCTCTT